ACTTCAGGGCTGGCCGTCGGGGGGGGGTCACTTTGAGGTCACTCCTGGGCGGCCGTGGGGGGACAGAGTCACTTTGAGGTCACAGTCGTATGCAGGGTATGTCGTGGACTTAAAAAGTGAACTCAAATATTGAGTCACTTTTGGGGCCTCCCCTTCAAAAGTGACTCACTTTTTAGGTCCACGACATACCTCGGGGCTTCTGTCGGAACGCAGGGTGGCGACGAGTGACTCTGTGGAGCCAGTGGGCATACCCCAAGTGGCACAGAGTTGCCCCGCAATGGCTTGGACGCGACCCCGAACTGACCAGACATGTAACTCATCAGCGAGTCCGAGTGACCCAGTCCCAACTTAAACTGACCACAAAGTGACTCAAAAATAACTCAGAAGTAACTTTCGGGGTTCCGATGTAGATCGGCTGGGACTTACGTTTTAGTCCTACTGGAGTTATTTTTGAGTCACTTTGGAGTCAGTTTAAGTTGCGATTGGTTCATGATGAAGTTACATTTTAGTTACTTTGGAGTTACTTTTAAGTTAGTTTGGAGTGATTTTAGCTTCGATGTTATGTTATGTTGAACATCACAACATACCATTTCATTCACATAACATGACGAAGCGCGTCCCAAAATTTCGCTAAGTACCCCCCCCCCCCCTCAGCCAAAAACGGCCGCCCTGAGTAAATCAATAATGCGACCCCCCGTTTGACCCCCACCCCCCGCCCGCCGTGTGACCCCTCCCGCCAGAGCCTTTGGCTCCGCCCCCACTGCCACTTTGAGACTTTGGCACCGACTGCAGCACCGACTGCAGCACCGACTACAGCACCGACTGCAGCACAGGATGGGGCGCGGCAAGGGCGAGGCTTCCTGCAAGTGCTGCGGCGAGAAGGTTCGCCATTGCTAAAGGAGGAGTGGGACTGCGAGGAGGAGGAGGAGGAGGAGGAGGATGAGGAGGAGGAGGAGGGGGAGGATGATGCCCCAGTGTTAACAAATCGCACACACCCCTCCACGTTAAGGGAGGGGAGGAGGAGGAGGGGGAGGAGGGAGGGGGAGGAGGAGAAGGATGCGGAGGGGGAGGAGGAGGAGGGAGGGGGAGGAGGAGGAGGAGGAGGAGGAGGAGGGGGAGGAGGGGGGGGAGGAGGAAGGAGGGGGAGTAGGGGGAGGACACTCACGTATGATTAACGGCACGTGCGCGCAAGTGGGTTCGTGTGCTCTACAACTTATAGTATAAGACTTCTAAAAGTTCGTAACTGTTTATATTGTTTGCGTTTTATGCGTGCACTTTGTAAAATATGCGAACATGCATTCCTATATTTATACAAGCTGTGCTCGGTGCGTTGTACCTGCGTGTCTGCGTGTTTGAATGCGTGCGCGATGTGTGTGATTTAGTTTTCGAGTTAAGCGAATGTTGTAACCATAACTGCTTCGTATTGGCGCGCGTGTGTTTGGCGCTAACAACGTAGGGGTAAACGAGTGTGTATGTGTGTTTCAGTGTAGGCAGGCGTGCTTCTCTCTAGTGGCCGCGCTCGCTGCCTCGATCTCGCCCCCGTTACGCGCCCCTCTCGCATGGGCAGGGGGGGCCCGCCAGAGCGAGAAGGGTTTCCCAATGCCATGCTATCTACCATGTGGTTGGTGCCAAAGGGCACCCCGTTCGTGTCAAAGGGCCCCCCGCTCGTGCCAAAGGGCCCCCCGTTCGTGCCAAAAAGGCGCCCCGTTCGCGCCAAAGTGCCCCCCCGTTCGTGCGAGGAAATTATCACAATACCGTGTTCTTTATCGAATTCCGTGCCCCTCCCACCCCGCCAGGGAGGCGCCGCCACAGCGAGGAGGCACCGACGCCGTATACTAAATTACGTATGCTGGGAACTCCATTAAGTGGCCTTGCGCGCGGCATCAGTCCCCACGTGCGTGGCCGATACTCCCCTTCCATGTTTTAGATTCTCATCTTTCCTTGCGTGGCCGTCGTGTTCTGCCCCCCCCCTGTCCCCCCCTGTCCTCGGCTTTGTTCTTGCGCGTCGGCATCGCAGTGGGCCAGTGGGCAATCGCCCAGGTGAGCAAACAGGACGCGGCGAGGGGAGGGTGCCAACGCCCTACCCGCGCGCCGCGGACCCCTTACGAGATCGCCTGGGCGCCATCATGGAACACCCTTCGAGGCTCGCTCTGATGGCGCCCATGGCTGGGGACAAGTCGGTCGCGGAGGTGGGCGACGACCAGGTGCGCGACCTCCTCTCGACGCCCCGACGCAAGCGGCCCGAACATCGGTCGCTTCGCATGGGCGGCCACGCCCCGTCCGACGCCGACGCGTCTTCCGTGGCCATATTTTCGCGCCGCACCTTCCATCGCCCCCTTCCAGTCGCATGTCGCATGCCCCTTCCCTTTTCCTCCCACGTAGTTGTTCTCCGCGTGTTCCAGGAAAAAACCGCGCGCGGTTTTCTTCTTCGCCGACGTTGATCTTCTTCGCATACGTTGGGCGATGCGGCGGTGGATGATGGCGGGGGCGCACAACTTACAGTGTGTACTGTGCGCCCAACATCGCCGCCAGTCTGGTTCGGGGACGCGTTGAAAGCGCCCCCGCCAGAGGACAGAGTTGCGCCGTGCGCGCGCGCCGCGCAGCCGCATAGTAAGCTCTAATAGATGTCAGCGCTGGCGCTCGTCGCCAAATGTTGTTTGAACGTCTTGTTGACTGTTTGAGTGGTAAACTACTGGCTCGGGTTGGCTTCGGCGGCCGCGCGAGGCGCGGGGGGAGCGGAAGGCGCGACCGCGGCGGCGCCGCCCACGAGGCCGATCAGTTTGCCTGCTTCTTCAAGACGGCAAGCCCCCGCGAGTTCGAGGCCGCCCTTCGCGGCGATGGCCTCGACGCAGGGGCGACCATACTTGCGACGCGCGCCTGGGGTCCAATGGGCGCCAAGCGGTCGCGCGCGCAGCGCCGCATCCCGCTAGGGGGCGCAACGGCGACGCGGAGGGCCCACAGTGGGCCGCCGCGGAGGCGTTGCGCGGCGTCGCTCGGGGACGAGACGTCGCGCGGCGCCGCCGAGCGCGGGCCCCGAAACGCCAGCCCCGACGCCGACGACGCCGCCGCATGGGCGGCGGGGGGGCGGCCGTCGCCGCGACGTCGCCCATGCGGTAATAAGGTAAATAGGTAATGGGTGGTGGGTGGGTGGTAATGGTAATATGTAATAGGTGGGTGTGTGGTTATAGGTGGTGGATGGGTGGTGGGTGGGTGGTGGATGGGCGGTGGGTGGGTGGTAATAGGTAATAGGTGGGTGGTGGGTGGGCGGTGGGTGATGGGCGGGTGGTGGGTGGACGGTGGGTGGGTGGTGGGTGGGTGAGTGGTGGTTGGTGGTTGGTCGGTGGTATTTGGTGGGTGGGTGGCGGTTGGTGGTTGGTCGGTGGTATTTGGTGGGTGGGCTGTGGATGGATGGATGGTGGGTGGGTGGTGGGCGGATGGTAGGTGGGCGGTGGGTCGGTGGAGGGTGGGTGGTGGGTGGGCGGTGGGTGTGGGGGTGGTGGGTCGGTGGGTGGTGGCTGGCGGGTTGGTGTTGGATGGGTGGGTGGGTGGTGGATGGGTGGTGCGCGCGCCCGCCGCTGGCCCGTCCTGCGCCGCGGATTCGAGGGCGACAATGGCCCGACGACGGCGACGACGACGACGACGACTGCGATGATGACGATGGGGGCGGCGACGGCGACGGCGACGGCGACGGCGACGGCGGCGACGGCGACGACGACGACGACGACGACGACGACGACGACGACGACAGCGACGACGACTTTGACGACGACGGCGACGAAAAAGACGACGACGAAAAGGATGACGACGGCGACGGCTGCGAGGGGTTCGCCGTCGGGCCCAGGGGGGGGGGCACGAGAGCTCCCCTGTCGGAGCCTTGTCGATGGCTGCGTTGGTCCAGGGGGGGCCACGAGATGCCCCCTCTGGCCCTCTGGGGCCCTTCTGCTTTTTTGGGTTCTCTTTCTCTATCTCTCTTCTGTGCTTGCTCTGGCCGTGTGGCCCTCTGGGTCCAGGAGGGGCCGCGAGAAGCCCCCTCTGGCCCTCTGGGGGGCTCTTCTGCTATTCTGTTTTTGCTGCTCTTATGCTATTCTGCTATTCTGCTATTCTTCTATTGTGCATGCATTGTATCGTGTGTGCGCGCGTGTGTGCGTGCACGCTTTAATTTTATATTAGTTGGTGTTGTTTGTGTGCGTGTGTGTGTCTGTGTCTGTGTGTGTGTGTGTGCGCGCTCGTGTGTGCACTATCATTAGTACACGGGATATTATTACACGGGATACTTTATTGTTCTGGTGTTTTACCCCGTGTAATGGTACAATATGTAGATGTGGTTTGACACGTGCGTTGGCGTTGCCTTTTACTTGCCAATGTATATGCGTGTTTTCACTTAACGGCGCGCCGTGCTGTGGCTTAGGGAAACCGCGCTTTCCGAACGCAGCCGCCCTCCATCCGCATAGCTGTTCCCATGTGTTTTGTATACTATACGTGTCGGCGGGTACTCGGTCATATTTGCGTGTCGTAGTGCAGCGTGCGTGTCCTGGCATGCACGTGCTACTTGCAGCGCGTCATGTGGATTGTGGCAATTGCCGTGTAAAGGTGTTACTAACAGAACACCTTTGCGCGGCAATTGTGGCGCGTGAGGTTTGTGCTGGAATGGGTGTAAACATGTTGACGCGTGTAATTCAGGAGACATATATCATAATGAATATGTTGGGTTTGTCGGAGGAGGACGGAGGAGGTGGAGGACGGAGGAGGTGGAGGACGGGGGAGGTGGAGGACGGCGGTGGAGGACGGAGGAGGTGGAGGGCGGGGGAGGTGGAGGACGGCGGTGGAGGCCAGCCACTGGACGGGAGAGGTGGAGGACGCGGACGGAGGCGGTCGGAGGGTGGGTGACGTGGACGAGGAGGCCGATGAGGAATGAGGAGCAGGAATATGAGGAGGAGGGGGAGGAGGAGGAGGAAGGGGAGGAGGAAGTAGAAGGAGTGACATGGGAGGGCGAGGACTTGATGTTTCTGATTCCCTGGAAGGTGGAGCCCATCGCCAACAGGCAGTTTTCCTCGGCGGCGTCCGCCGCGGCGTCCTCGTCGGCGGGGCCGGCGCGGCCTGGCGGGGCTCGGAGGACTGCGGCCGCTATCCAGCAGGCGGCGACGGCCGAGGTGCAGGAGAAGACCATGGACTTCGCGGTGTTGGTGCTGCAGAGGGACCCGTCGGCATGCGAGGAGTGTTGGTTCATCAAGACCGTGCTCTACCCCAAGGCCTCGTGGAAAGAGTTCCTGGACCAGATCGGCACAGACGTCGTCGCGCAGGGTCGCGTGGCCGACGCGAGGCGCGTCAAGCGGGGGGCCTCAAAGATGTTCGACGAGGGGGAGGTCACCCACGGGCGTGTGACAGCAGTTGACGTTGAGCGTCCCTTCATGATCATGAATGAGAAAGAGTTGTCCAAAGAGGTCGAACAAAAAAATCCCTAAGAAGAACCTCGACTTGTTGCCGAAGTCCGCGTGGCCCAAGGAGGACGGCTCGGGGGAGTACGAGGTGATCTACTGGTTCCCAGACGCAGAGAAGTTTCGCAAGGCCACTGTGAGGCAGACGATGTACGTCTGCAGCGACACTACGATCATGAGCCCGAGCAGCCAGGTGAGCCCTTTTCAAGCAGATGAGCAGTTCTGGCAGATGGTCAGCAACAAAATGCAGAACCAGTGCGCTGACTCCATCAACAGGCAGCAGCATTGCCCTGGCGGGCACGGCTTGCTGTCCTTGGCCGATTTCAAGATGAAGGCGAATCCCGATGCTGCTCGTGCCGCTCCTGCCTCCTCGAGCCTTCCTGCTGGCCGTAAGGCATATCCGCCAGTACCTACGATGGCTCCTGCGGCGCCTCATGTCATCAACGTGCCAGAAGAGACGCAGGAGGCAAGTGCGACGGCGTTGGACGACGACACGGAACCGCAAGATTCTCCCGACCGCGGATCTGGGGCTGCTGCTGCCGCCGCCGACGAGTGGGAGATGCTGTCGGCCAGGGGCGGTAGCCCAAAGCGGACGCTGCCAGCCGAGATGACTACCCCCAGGATTAGCAGGCTCAGGAGCTCTTTCGACTTGGAGGGGGGTGACGGCAGCCCTCCCGACGGGAGGCAGGTCGACGACGCCTCGTCCTCCTTCCAGGGAGATGATGATATGAGTTCACCAGGACTCTTGGGCCAAATGGGGGAGGATGGCGGTAGGAGGACTCAAGGGTAGTAGGGCATATGATGAGTAAGAGCATGGTGAGGATGAGGATGGTGATGAGGATGATGAGGACGAGGATAGTGAGGATGATGAGGATGTTGATGATGAAGATGATGATGCTGATGATGAGGATGATGAGGATTATGATGATGATGATGAGGATTGGAATGATGAGTAATATCATGACTAGGATGGTGTGGATGATGAAGATGATGATGATGAGGATGGCGAGGGTGAGGATGGTGAGGATGAGGATGGTGAAGAGGGCGATGAGGATGGTGAGGATGATGAGGATGATGATGATGATGAGGATGATCATGAGGATGATCATGAGGATGATGATGAGGATGATGAGTAAGATGATGAGTAAGATGATGATGGGGATGATGAGTGAGGGCATGATGAGGATGAGGATGAGGAGGATGAGGATGATGATGAGGATGATGATGATTAGTAAGAGCATGACTTGTACGGTGCAAACTAGCAGGGGGGAGGGCGGTGGGACAGGAGGTGGAGAAAGGTTTAATCCGATCGAGGTCAGTTCATCCGAGCTCGGGCTCAGTTGGGTTGTCCGGCGGTAATGACACACATCGGACGTGGTGGGCAGACTGGGCCCGAAACGTTTCTAGGATTGTGGGAACAGGTTGTGGGTATGCTATAGGTGTACACATTCTTCTAGGACAAGATCCAGTCGACGTTTGGTCCAGGCGCGCGGGGCTGCTGGACGTGATCAGCAAGAAGGTCGACGGGAGGACGGTCTCGGGGATGGGCCGCGCGGCGACTCGACTGCAGAGGCAAGATGTCACCAGAGATGCAGGCAATCGGTTGAAGAACTACCACGCTGTGGTTGTCCACGCGCAGGCGCTCGTAGATACCGAGATCGCCGCCAGCAACGTGACGGTCGAGGACATCCAGAAGCACATCTCGGCCATCGCAGCACACGACCTTGTTTTTCAGCCACCCCTGAGCGTGCTGCTGGCGGTCGTTCTCAAGACGGCCATAGGCGCGTGGCAGAGTGATAACATCGAGGGCTTCCTGAAGGTGACGTCTTTCTGGAACGACCCCGACGCCATGCTCTCGGAGGGCCCCCCTAGCGATCTCAAGACCCTCAGGCTGGCCAGCGTGGGTGACATGCGCTCCCAGGCCACGTTCTACCAGGAGCGCATCGTGAAGGACATCATTGTCCCGAGCATCAACGCTGGCGCCGAGAGCCATGAGTAACTCGTGAGCTGGGCGAAGGGGGCTCTGGCATCGATCTCGGGCTGCGATTGGCTGGTGATGGACGAGGCGGCGGCCCGCGTCGTGAAGGAGCTCCGCACCAGCGCTCAGGGCATCTCCATGCTCGCGGAGGTGACCATCAGCAAGCAGCTCATGGAGCTTTGGGTGGGGCTTAACCAACCCACCAGGTCACCAGGTTGAGGGGGGGGGGGAGGGCTCTGGACCAGGTCACCAGGTCACCAGGTCGCCAGGTTGAGGGAGGAGGGCTCACCAGGTCACCAGGTCACCTGAACTGCAAGGCGTGCTCTGGGCCCAAGTCGGGCCCGTTGGCGGGCCCAGAATGGGTCCAGCCCCTCTGGCGTGCCAGAGGGGCTGAACCCATTTCGTCGTCGTCGCGGCCCTCGTCGTCGTCGTCGTCGTCGTCTTCCGTCGTCGTCGTGGTGGTCGTCGCCGTCGTCACGTGAAAAACATATTCGTCGTCGTCGTCGTCGACGTCGTCGCCGTCGCCGTCGTCGTCGTCGTCGTCGTCGCCGTCGTCGCGTGAACAACTCATTCGGGCACCGCTCGAATGGGCCCCCCCATGCGCTGGCATAAACGCCAGACGAAGACCCTTCCCCTCCACATTATTTTACGTCACCATGCCCTCCCCAGTATCTTTCTGGGGAGGGCGTGGACCGCTTGTAATCCAGTTTTGCAGTGTTCCAGCTCGTGCGTTGGACCCCCACCCATGAGACCTCGCTGGCAACGCTTCAGAAGGCCAGCAAGGGCATCTCCAAGCACATCGTGACTAAGATCGGCTGCGCCCTCGACAAGTCAGATCATTGGCATGAGCTGATGGACAAAGTGATGCTGATGGGTCAATTCATTGACGACCACGGTGACAAGATCAGCCAGATGGAGAAGGACCTCAGCCAGTTTCAGTGTGGACATGATGGCGCTACGGACGCCCTCACATGCATGATGGCGCAGCTGGGCAAGTGGTCGCAGATTGCACCTTTCCCGACATGCTTGGACGGCGTCTCTGATAAGCTGGACGTCGCCGTGAGAGGTCGCGCCAAGGCAGTATTGGGGAACTCTGCTACCACCAGCGTGCAATTCAACAACGTGCAGAAGATGATTGGCGAGGCTTCCCTGGTGTGGCCTAGCAACGGAGATTACGTAGTGTTTCAAGAGGAGGTCGCCTTAAGAATCCGTGGCATTTCAAGCTCTGAGAAGGTGGCATAAGTGACCGCCTCAATCGATGCCATCATCAATGTGCCATTTGTGAAGGACTTATCCGTTGAGGACGCAGTGACGGGTGCGACGGCGGAGGGCGGCATTTCTGTTTTGAAACCTTTGATCGTGAAGTTGGCGGCCTCCGTGGAGGGGCTCGGGGCGGTCAGCGAAGTCCCAGATGAGATCAAGCAGAAGATGTCGGGTTTCAAGCCGTTCCTGCTGGCCCCCCCCGAGGCTACAATTGGCGGCGACGGCTTTAACGAGGTGCAGGTCTGCGTCGATAAGGTTTCCACTTCGAGAGCTTTTGATCAGGTGGTCAATTGGGCAAAAGTCAACCAGCTGCACCAAGCTTTGCACTCCGTGATCCTCAAGCACGGGGCCTTCGTGCAGACGGGCGTTGACGGCAATGACCCAGATACGACAACCCTTGCAGTTTTCGATGCTATGTTGGCCCTTGAGCGCGCTCGCTTGACGCTCGATCGGACTTCTAAGGACCTGCCCAAGAATGCGGTATCGGACAAACTATTCAAGGTGGCCCACGCGTACGTCAACGACATGCAGATTTTGGTCCAGAAGGGCCACGAATATCGGATTCAGAGTTTCACAGATAAGATCAATGAGAGGTTGTGCATCTTTGGTCCTACGTCCAAGGGCGGCGACGGCGACCTCCCATGGTACGACGGGCTTGGCAAGCCCCCCCTGGAGGAGCTGCTGGAGAAGGCCGCGGAGCTGCTCCCCCTCAAGAAGATGTCGGCCCACGTGGCTACCTACAAGCAGCTTGAGAAGGAGACTTGTGGGGTAGAAGTGGCGGGGTCGGTAATGTCGGGGCTGGAACGATTTTAAAACGTTGTTGCCCCGATCGGTTGGTCAAGCTGTTGGCGTAACTACGGGGAACCGTAGGGCCCGTCACACAATCCATGCTTACAGAATGGCTACCTGACATATCGACCCACTGCCATGATATGATGGTTTTTGTTTTCGCCTACCCGTGAGGAGAAGGCCGCGCTTCTGGATGCTTGCAAGGCTGCTGGCAACATGCATGCGAGTGACCTCCCGATCTTCGAGACGATCGATACGACCCTGCACCACGCCAAAGTTTGCAAGTGTGAGGCGTTGCTTCTCACGGCCATGAGGACCGAGAAGGATCAGACCCAGCTCCCGAAGAAGATCAGGGCAGAGCTGCTGGAGCTGCGCCAGTGGCTCAACCCGCTGCAGAAGAAGTGGGAGGATGAGATCTGGGACGAGCTGGTGCCGCACGTTGTGCAGATCATCGAGGGCCCCTAGGAGATATATGATATGATTGATGGTGGTAGTGCTGGAGTTCGCCAGCCTTTTCGGGCAGGCGCCGAGGCCGCCTGCTTCCGCCTGCGGCCCGATTGTCATTAATCGTGGGGCCGTTGGTCCAGCCGCTTGGGCTCAGACCACGCTTAGTAATGAGAGAGAATTGCTAACGTTTGTTATCTAACAGTAGAAACACAACACTGATAAGCAGCAACATCTCACATTACAGAGTTTAGGCTTTTCGGCGCTGCGATCGGCCTTGGGGCTGGAGATTCGAGTGCCCTCCCAGCCCCCAGAGAGCCCGTTCCTGACTGCAGCGCCCGCTCTGCTGGCCCGATCGCGATGGCAGTGACAGGGGAGGATGCCCCGCGGTGTGCGCACGAGGTGAAAACACCAATATATCATAAGCGCTTTCGCGCTCGTGCCGCCCCCCCCCGCAGACTCGGCAAGACACAGTAAGCGCGCAACCCTAGCACTTAAGAGTAAACGAAGGTTGACAACCAACTGGCTCAGGTCGAAGTTGTTTGGCTCAAGCTTGCCCGTGCATTTCGGCTTAAGCTCCTCCTGAATGCTGCACTTGCACCGTCGTGCGCGCGCCGCTCGGCGCGCGCGCAAACGCCCGCAACATGTGTTGTTGGGCGTTCTGGCGTCGCGCCCGTGCGGCAGTTTGCGTGCAGCACGCGAGCTTAGACCAACAACAGTCTTTGTGCGACCAAGGGGCCCCGCGGGCCCCATTGATGAGGGGCGCTGTGGGTTGGGCCGTTCGCGCGCGCGGCGGGTTGTTTGAGCTCCGTTATGGGTGCTCGCATTGTTTTGCGAGGCGCTGTTGCTGGGGCGGCGGCCGCGCGATGACTCGCGCCAGTCTTGGCCATCGGCGCTGTTTTCCAGTGCTGCGCCCGCCAATGGTTTGGGGCGCCTGCGCGCGCTAGTCGCGCCGACGTTGGCGTGGCGGACATCTGTATTGTACGCGTGTCGACGGCACGTCATCAGAACAGGCCGCTCGCCGCGCGACGGCGCGATGGTCGGTCCGCCGTTGTTTTGGCGGCGGGCGGCGGCGTAACTGTGTAAATGTTTGGCAAGTGTGTGCCTGCGTGGCGTTGCCAAGTCATGTCGTTGCGCGGCCGCGATT